AAAATCGGAAGTTCGGTTTTATCATTTAACTACAATCAGCAGTTAAAAATACATATGATCACTATAATTCGGGGGATAGTTGATCCCAGCTGTGGTACTGAAGCACTTATTGTACACGGTATTCCGCCGTTTCGTGCACTTGTGTTTGCCTCTGTGTCAGTAATACAACACATGGCGATGTGAAATTTTAGAGTGACCTACCAAAAATCGGTGTGGTACAATCGTGCATATTCACTGGCTTCTGTGAATGCAGCAGATAACCTTTTGCTTCTGTATTCAGTAAAGGTACAACTAAGCTCGGATGATCACTGAACCGTCAGTACCAAATATTTCCACTGGCATCTATGATGACAGAAATTAGTTACATGTATCGTTTCATTATTGTTTTATTCCTACATTCCGTAACGGTATTGTTAATTGTTGGGATGGAGACAGCGACCAATCAAAAGATTTGAGAATACGGATAAGGGTGGCGCAAGTCGACCATACCACAACATTTGGGCCGCTGTCATGATCACCTCAATCAAGTGACTTTGGCCGCTGAAAAACTCCACCGTAATGGCTAACAAGACCATTCGTTTGCCCAAAGTTCTCATCGCTTCATGAACAAAAATTATCTCTTTTGGACTGTAGTTTTGACCGATTATATAATGACTGAGTACAAGAGCACAGTTAATTAAATGCAGTCTTATATCATTTTGTCATTTTGGTACGCGGAAAACAAGTCATATATATATGTGAATATATTCATGCACCGTTTACATTTGTTTGAATGTTTAAATTGATTGGTTCAGGTCGTAACATCTTTTTATCAAATATACATCGGACCAGATAAAAGTTCAACTCACCTCACTCAAATCCACCTTCTTCAATTTCCAAACCAATCTTTCCAGTCCGAACAAGAAAAGGCTCGTCACAATCGACGTGGCAAAAGTGAGATAGACACCACCAAGTTCGTACAGCAATAATCCTGTGCTTTCCAGATCCATACAGTTTGTGTTGTTTTTTATCCACCATTTTTCAGCGATAGTTTCCAGGATACTGTCTGCTTTGAGTTGTAGAAGACTGCAAAAGCGATCATAAAAAACAAGGGAAACAAATAAAATTAAATGAATTATATAAATAATCGCAGATGGAGAGACAAACCGTAATATTAATTCCAAATTCAAGATTTCACTGTCATGTTACTTCGGATTGTTCATGCTCTGAAAGAAACCATTTTCATATTGGAGTACAAACCAATAATTCAAAGCTATTTGTCCAACCAATTTAGTTCCACTTAGTTAATCACACAATTTTGCAGGCTGAAATAAATAAGTTGAAAGTTCCTCTTCTGGCATCCAACGTATCATTGCACTATCTGGCCATTAGTTTCGGTACATACCATCGATTATATTTTAAAAGGCACCAATGAAACTATCATTTGAGCATGGTAACTGAAAACTAACTCCAGTTGACAAATGAAAAATCGTTTCTTTCTTGGCTCCCGAATCAATCGCTACGCTGTACGTTTGACGTTTGAAGGAGGCACATACTGCCGGGGATGTAAAGTTACAGTGTGATTGTTATGATATGATTGGCATTCAAGATGTGTGTGAAATTTGCAGTTCACTGACATCCACCATACCATTCGAATGACATCTGATCCACTTTCATCTATCGCAAGGGTTCCAATATTGTCTATTTTTCATTTCGTATTGATGCGCACGTGTTTACTGTTTTGTGTCTAGCTATGCCCCAAAAATCAAATGTTAGATCTAAGAGTATACTATGGTAAGTATTTCACTTCTTTGCACTTGTTATAATCCATGTAATGGAATTCGTCTTTAAACGTGCTCCCGATAGTCCGGGATATGCGGTGATAGGCACGATACCCTAAAGTGCATCTTGTGTGTGCGTGTATTTCAGAAATTTAAGCAAGACCCGCAGAGGAATAAGGTAAACATTTTGTCATGGAAAGCAAGGGTATCTATGACCAAAGAAAAAATCGAGCAGATTAAAAGACGAAAGTGACGACAATCCAAGATTAAATCTGTTGCTTTTAAATCTATATTGCTGGCTTAATCATGGTTAAGGAATGGTTCACCGAGGATAAACGGCTTACTTTTATTTCACACGAGAAAGATGAGCAGTGCAATGAACTGTCCGCTACCGAAATTGGCGTCGTGTGACGAGTTTTGAATGTTAAATTTAAAATTCACCAAAAAAATTTGCCAAACAAGATGATTAGATATAGTTCTCCTGGCTGTCTAACTCAGTCAACCTACCTGATACGTCATCAGGGGTAAGGTTACATTTTCCGATCAGGAACTAGATTCGCTCCAAGAAAGTTCCTCGTAGAGTCGGAATCATTAGGTGGTTTGACGAAAATACACTAAGTAGGTTTAGAGGTGAATGATGTCATTCTTTGATCAAACTGGTCGACTAGTTTGGTGGAAAAATACCACATTGAGGAGTGATAGCCGTGTTGCCTGTATTTATTTCTATCAGGATCACTGATCATTTGGAGACTATACGGAAGGAAGTTTATTAATTGAGCACTTCATATGTGCTGACTTACGCTTTGTCCAGCATCGATGTCAACGCGGAATTTTTTGGTAACACAATCCCATAATTCCAGCTTCCGATCCGTTCACCGATGGTTTTCATATTACACGACCGTTGCACATAATAGGAGGCCAAAGAGGATTCCATAAACACAATCCAGTTTTGTTCAATCAGATCTATCAGATGATTGGTGTCTTTGGCAAACCCCCAACTTTTCATCCGTAAGAAGCATGTTCCGTACCGTTCGGTGATTGGATAGCGTGAGACGAAAAAGCTACCGGACCACTGATCTGCAGAGTGGAAACAGCATGTACCGCGCACGCTCCGATTAATGTTGAACTGATTTATTTTTCAGTCTATGTCAGATGTGCAGGCAAAACTTTCGAAGTTATGAGCAGCACCCGGAATCGGCATACCCAATGTTCTCGTTTGGAAATTTCGTTCATTCAATACTCAAACTGTACTGTGGACAAATAATTGAGGAAATAGTTGGAGAAAGCCAGAACAGTGGTGCTAAATTCCCACTACACCGAGGCCCACTGACCAAAATTCATACAGCAAAGTCAGTTTGGATTAGCATCGGTAGGAAGAAACTTAACTGATCATATTTGTCGTTGACATGAGAGTAACCGAAAGGGATAGAAAAATACAATCATGGGTATATACCACAACCGACGAGCAGTCGTATGACAGTAATAATGAAAACGGTAAAATTTCTACGTCTGATAAAACTCCATTTTGTGAAATAAGATAAAAAGGTATGCCACTGTTTTGCCCTAAGGCACCCGGGGGTTGCAACTATAGAGAGAATATTGTCGGTAAATCACTGATCAACACCGCTGCCCCGGAATCCATTGAAAATGTGTTGTAGTCTGGATAACTGGAGTTGAGTGTTCTGATGCATTGCACACGTGGCGATGACTTCGTCAAACTAAGCAAACCGTCAAAGCCAACGAAAAGGGAAAACACCAATGCTGAGCTCCAAATGATAAGAACGATGGGCGTTCTCACTTCCTTTGTAGTAAAGATGCAAAGATCCACAAGTGAACCACAGTTGGAGTTTAGGTCAGTTCCTCATTGTGAAGTGATAGAAATGTATAAAACAGGAGAAAACTGTGGTTGTTGTACATTGATCTAAGAGAGAGAGATTAAATTCTCTTTTCTGTGACGAAGCACAGAGTAAAAAATATAGGCCTTTTAGATAATGTTTCTGGGCTTGTCTTTTACAGTTTTGGACACAAGGAATTTTTGAGACGGATTTGGTTTCAGTTATCATTACAGTTGCGTGGAGTTCAGATTTATAAATCCCACCAACGTTGCTCAACTTTTCTATTCTTGTGCGCCCTCAGACAGAGTTTAATCGACGGTAGCTGCACTCTCGAAAATTGATTGCGTAAGTTATTATTCACTTGTTAATAAGCAACCATAAAAATAATTATATTTGTACATTTAGGTAACTCACCAGAAGATTCGGTGATATTTGTCCAGGTATCGAACAATGTATGCTCAATCTCAAACATTCTTCTAAAAAAGGTGAATTCTACCGAATTTTCTCGAATAGTGTACTGAAAACAGAAGAACAGTAGACTATGATTTAATGCACATGCATGCCGGGTTTGATTTCTGTAAAACATTTAATCAAATTTGTTTGACTGGATGGCGTGTTATTAAAACGATTTGTCCGAACCAACTCGATTGTTCGTTTTTCTCTTATTAGACTTTCAGGCATTTTGTAGTCAATCATTCAAGGTGTTAAACGTCTGCCGTATAGCTCAATTTTGACTCCAAACTCGAAGATATAGGTTTTGAATCACGATAGGGACATGAAAGTAGTTGGGAATGCAGCTAAGTTTCAGCACTATCCGTTTAGTGCGATTCAACGGCCATCACACAAGTTTCATCGTGAATGCATTGTTAGGCCACTGCAACCTTTTGAGTATTTACTCATCAGCAGCGCATGCTTAACGAGACTTTGTGGTGACCCTAGCCTACGAGATGACACAAACCACGGAGCGATACGTTACAGCATTAGGATAACTGTGATCAATCAAGCTTCCCAGGTGACGTCAGCAAAGCCTGTATCTGTCACAGCTTCTGGACTACAAACCATAGGCCGGTTGTACCAACCAATCAAAAACCTTGCGGGTCAGACAGAAGCTGAACAACGCCAGAAATACTAGCACGCGATTAGCAGAGGCTTGGATGACCAACGAACTTGTTTGTTTTGTGCATATTATTTAAACCCCCTGATTTCTTTCAATAAACGAACTGCTATTCTTGTGACCTTTTCCTCGCGTCTCGGTTACTTGGGATACTGTGTGCAAGTACCACTGTGATCCAGTGCTTACGTGGTGTCCGTGATTTCTAATTCGTGAATCGTGTTTCGTGACCAGTGCATTCTACAATTACCACAAACTTGTGAACTGCAAACTCGGCCACAAGTAGCTGTGAGTACATAACTTGTTCTGTATGACTCTCGTTGTCAAACGTTGCTGATGTCAACAGAAAATAAAAAAACTCTGGGGTCAAACTTTTCGGTGGACTCCTATTGCCATTAAGCGGATATTGTATTGTAATGGCTTATGTAGATATAAAGCCTATGTTTCCGCCAAAAATGTACAGGTTTGAGCGAGGGAGAAAATAAAAAAATAATATTAATGAAAAAATATTTAAACCCCAAAACTGTTAACAAATTCTATGAAAACCTGTTTTTTGTTAACCAGAATACGTGCTGATTAGGGTACTGTAGAGCTACGATATATATTTATTCGAGAGGGAACACAACGATACTGGGATCTAGTTGAGGGATGCGAACAACAGAGAGTTAGATGCGCGTGTAGCTGATGTGTGGAGTCGATAAGAATCTTATGTGCAAACTTTTCACATGCACTCAAATGACGTTTGCACAGGTTAGTTACCAATTCCTTCAGCGGGATTAAAGAGACACGGCTAATGATGATCAGTCCACGTCGAAGCAGTTTCTTTCTTTCGGAGATTGGAAAAAATAACAGGTGGCCAATGAAGTAAGACGAGGAAAACACACTGGTACACGAATTTGTCTACGGATACGAAACGGAAGTCGTCGAAACTTACTGACGATGTGTTGAATGTGAGAGGTCCAGTGAAGATTAGTATCAATAAAAACATTCAGGTATGTAA